TGGTTTGTTACCCAGCAATAAATTACTAAAACACCTTCTCTTAGAATCTGTGTGGCTTAGTTAGGTAGATGGCTGGCTCATTAGAGGCTGCGCTTCCAACCTTCCTCTTTTGCAGTGGAATATGGCTGGGAAGTCTTGCTTATGGGATGTGAGTGGAAATAATGCAATTTCCAAGCCATATCAATACGACATTAAGTGCTTGTCGTATACTTCCTCTCCCTCACCCACTTCTTGGTGGCTGAGACAGGGATAGTTGGAGCAGCTACCTCGGATCCACAGACACTGCAGTTGGCTGTCACAGATTCAAGTCCCCAGGTAACAAACTCAGCAGAGTTCAAAGTTCAGAATATTTACTAAGGAGTTCCCCAGGGGTCACTACCTAAAAGGAGGGGAAGAAAGAGGGAGTGGACAGAGGGAAAAGTTGGGCTGCAATGCAGACCCAGTGACAGCCTCAGAATTGGGTCTAGATGGCCTTTGTACTCAGGCATGGACTAGTCATCGGATGTGGGCAACCCTGCCATGTGCTTTTGTTAGGTTATAATTACAACATATTAGCTCTTACTGCAGAACAAAATAACCCAAAACTTAGCGGCTAAAACCAACATTTATCATCTTAGTTTGTGTGTGTAAGGAATTCAGAAACGTATGGGGTTGCAGTTAAGCTGTTGGCTGAGGCTTCAGTCACCTCAGTTCAATTGGGGCCAAAGGATTCAGTTCACTCACATGTTGCTGGTAGGTCTCTCCTTCCGACAGGGGCCTTTCTCCATGGGCCACCAGGTGGTGGTCTGAGAGGGAGCAAATCAGAGAGCCTGGGATGGAAGCCACAGTCTTTTTAAAACCTTATCTCAGCAGGGACATCCCTAAATGAAATCGGAAGGCCAGCCCCCAATCAAGAAGAGGGGGTGCATGAGGGTGGAATCCTGGCCGGCAGGTTTAGAGGTGCCTACCATGCATCGTAAGCACACAATTTTGTATCTTGCTATTTTTAAGTTTTTATCAACTTAAATGTTTTGTTTTGCGATATGTTCTTCATTTAAACAATGTCTTTTTAAAAATTAGGAAAGCAGCCCTGGCTGGCGTAGCTCAGTGGATTGAGCGCAGGCTGGGAACCAAAGTGTCCCAGGTTCGATTCCCAGCCAGGGTACATTCCTGGGTTGCAGGCCAGAACCCCCTGCAACTGCACATTGATGTTTCTCTCTCTCTCTCCCTCCCTTCCCTCTCTAAAAATAAATAAATAAAGTCTTTAAAAAAAAATTAGGAAAGCAATACATTCTTGTAAAAACTTTCAAATGATACAGGTGTAAAATCCTTTTCTTTATGCAGCTCCTCATACTAGTTGAAGAAGCCAGAGGTGTCCACAATTAAGATTTTTTTAATCTGCTGAGATATTCTATACATACATAAACATAAGTAGGTACAGATAAATATTGTATATTTAATGTTCTTAGTATATCTTAGAGTTCTTTCCATTTCACCATGTAGAGACCTGGAACATTCTTTTAAACATCTGTGAATTAAATATGCATATTTCACGATTATGCTAAAAATGTTAAGCAGTCCCCTACTGACATTAAAATTTTTTATTTATCTGACAAAAGATGCAAATGTGCATTCTTACCCATGTCTTTGCAAATTCATGCTGGTACATCTTGAGGATAAATTCCTGGGAATTAGAATTGGTAGGTCTAAAAAATGCACAAATACTAAAATAAATAACTATACCTAAGAAAAAAAATTTTTGTGGGATAATGTAGTATATGAATGTATCTGTTTCCCTAGATAATGGCTAACACTGAGTATTAGCAAACTGAAAATTCTGTCAGGTCCAGCCTGGCCAACACTGTGTTATATACATAGCTGTATTAGAGAGTTATGACATTACTGTAATCGATGTTTACATACCTTTTATTACATGGTTAGCTTCTTGAGGCTACAAATTTAATTGAATTTCTCTTTGTGGTCCTAGAACTTAATATCATACTTGACACACAGTAGATACTCTGCAAATGTTTAGTAAGTGTTGGAGTTGAATTTAAGGCTTTGAAGTCAGAAGAGCTGGTTCAAACCACAAAACCTGCCCCCAAATTGCCCCTTATTCTCTCTGGTCTCCATTTCCACAATTATTTTTTTTAAAGATTTTATTTATTCATTTTCAGAGCGAGGAGAAGAAAGAGAAGAGAGAAACATCAATGTGTGGTTGCCTCTCATGCAACCCATATTGGGGACCTGGTCCGCAACCCAGGCATGTGTCCTGGGAATTGAACTGGCGACCCTTCCACAATTTTAAATTGCATGTGTAATAATAGATTTTTTTTCTACAGTCCCTTTTCAGATCCAACATTATAGGCTTCCAAGAAGGAAAGTAGTAAATTGTTCATCTTATAATCTCTTTACATACCAATTCAAATTAAATATTATAAACTAATCACTAATCATATACCATGCATTTGCCATATTTTTCAATACCAATTATCGCCTTTCAGTTTATTTAAAAAGTATGTCAAAGATTTTGAAAATCAGTCATAGGTAAGTCAATCTTTAATCTTCAAAGATGTTCAGTGGTGCTCTGGCTGGTGCAGCTCAGTGGACTGAATGCCAGCCTGAGAATCAAAAGGCCACTGGTTTAGTTCCCCGCCAGGGCACATGCCTGGATTATGGGCCAGGTCAGGCCCCCTGTTGAGGGTCTTCAAGAGGCAATCAATTGATGTTTCTCTCACATGTTGATGTTTCTTTCCCTCACTTTCTCCCCCTTCTCTAAAAAAATTTAATTAATTTAAAAAATAAAATCTTTTATTTTTTTTAAGATATTACTTATTTTTAGAGAGGAAGGGAGGGAGAAAGAGAGAGAGAAAGAGAGAGAGAGAAACATCAATGTGTGGTTGCTGGGGGCCGTGGCCTGCAACTCAGGAATGTGCCCTGGCTGGGAATCGAACCTGCGATGCTTTGGTTTGCAGCCTGAGCTCAATCCACTGAGCTATGCCAGCCAAGTCAATAAATAAAATCTTTAAAAAAGTGTTTAAAAACATAACAAAATTTTCAGTGGTAAAAAGACCACAAGAAAACACTTTAAGCAAAAAGTATGTTTCTGAAATCCTTGTTCTCTTAAAATCTAGACCTTAAGTCTAGTCAGTTTTCTCATGAATATTTTTGTCTCTTGGACTAAATTAAATAAGCAGACTAATTAGAGCGCTATGCAACAGTTAAGATACCTAAAAATATTAGCTATTAGAAATTATTAGGGAATTATCAGCTATCCTCTTTTTATAAAATGCCACACACACACACACACATACACACACGATTTTTTGTTCCAAAAGATCTTTGTTTTTTCAGGTCTACTTGTTTCCAAAAGTTGAGTCAATCACAAACATCAGGTCTAGCTATAGATTAGCTTTATGTCCTAACAAAAGTCTGCCATACTCACGTACAGCATTGATTTCTGCACAAACCATAATCTTCACAGCAATGCCAGGCCTTTGGTAATGGGATTGTAATGACTTTGCTAGTGACATTTTAACAGTGGTTATGAATGACAATGTTAGCATTTTTTTGAAAAAACCTCTTACCACTGCTTTGGTTGCTAAGCTGCTTTAGTTCCTCTCCTTGGGAGTCTGAATAGCAGTGTGGTAATTTGTTTGGGCAGCAGGAAGGCTGACAGTTTATATTAGCTAAAGCTTTCCGTTGTCAAAAGAATCCACCTGTCCACCTCTACACACATGAATAACCCTAACCCTCCTCCATTACCCTTCCCATCACTAGCGCACAGTTTTCCCTCTTCTGATAGCACTAGCTTACTCTTTTTGCTCTTTTGAGGGTTAGGATCCAACAGATTCAGTACATCTTACTATGACTGGTAAAAATTTTATCAAAATAAGCAAAATTCTGCACATAACAATAAATTAATTTTCACAACCCTGGTGGATGGTCAGTAGCAGCAGTATTTCCTTGATTGGGTTGACCTTGGACAAATGATTTAATGATTTAATTATTTTGAGCTTTGGTAAAGTAATGCTTTTCTTGGGAAAAAAAAACCCCAAAACAACCTAGAGGTTATATTAGACATGACTTTCCCTTCCAATCGATGGAATTGAGTTTATATCAAGAAAGCAGAAAGGAATAAGGATTAGAAAACAAAAGAATTCTGAACATGGATTTTGAAAAAAGTTTAATATAGCTTTAGATTATCTCCTAGATTAGCTGTAAAACTGTCTTTACTGACTTTTTGTTTTGACAATTAAAAATCGTGAATGTGATCAGTTTGTCGATTACTGGAATAATTTATTTGACTTAATACTTGTGCATGGTGCTAATATAATGAATATGAAACATCAATGAGCACCTACATTATACATCTCTTGGGAACCCCTCATTCCAAGAGGGTGTGTGTGTGTGAGATCTCTTATCCAAAGAAAAACATCACATAACCATCATGACATCATAGAAACATGTTCAAGACAATACACAAAAATGTTACCCATTAACTTCCGCAGTACTAATTCTTAGAAGTAACCACCTACAGAATATGTAATAATGGCAGGGAATTATGTGATTTATTCAGTTAAGAACACTGCATTTTGGAGTCTCAAAGAACTAGGCTTGAGTCGGATGTTTCTGCTATGGCCTTTGGCAAGCTCCCTAAAGCCCCGGACTGCAGTTTCTTCATCTGTAAAATGAGGTAATACTACCTCATAAGGTTGGAGCAAGGACAAAACAAATACATATAAAACCAAAGTGCTTACTTACCATACAGAAAAAAGCTGAATAATCATTGGCTATCATTACACTTTTCCAAGATACATATATTGTTATATATTTTATGTACCTAGCCTGATAGAATGCTCAACTCCTTACTTTGGTACCAGAAAAAAGGAGGTCCTAATGGAAACTTATTTCATCTGTTTATAAACATAAATGCTCTATAAATATAAACAAAAATTCTTATTTTAAGGATTTTCTTTGTATTCGTGACAAAGATTATCAATGCTTTTACACAAAAGAGCATCTGTATACATGTTTTATTAAACTATTTAATGTTTACACACAATACATAAATTTTTTGGAACCTCAAAGTTCTTTGATAGCTGCAACATTATTTCCAAATGAGCATGGCAGAACCTTAAATATTATATCATTCCAATTATGTTTTAAAGAGATAAACCTCTAAGAGATCACTCCCACATAACTGTCCATTAAGCATCTGTGACAAAACTGGGTTCCCAGCAGTTTCAGCATATGGATGGCTCCTCCACTGCCTGGGCGCCCTCCGTGACAGCTTTAACACATTTGGCCATTGTCTGTGAGGCTCTGCTGATCGAATCTGAAAGGTATTAAGGACAGGTGCATTTAGAGAACACAACTTTAAAAAAGCACATAGTCAAACGTTCTTGTTTCACATACTCAGGAACAACAAAAAGCTATATAAAAGTATGCAACTGTATGTAAATTTTTGAGATCAACCAACAGATTCAGAAGATAAGCCCCTTGTTAGCTAAATGCTTTTAATAAGCACTCCTAGGTATTAGTAAATAATTATATACAAACAATATGCCAGTATGCAACCAGTAAACATATTATAGAAAAATATTAAAGACAAAAAAGTATGTAAAATACTGTTATTGAAAAAAAATGGCAAAAAAAACACATGTACTAAAATCCACTAAATTCTATAATACTTCATAGATGAATTTTATGGTGATATGAATTATATTTCAATAGCTGTCAAAAAACCCATAGTTAACTCAATAATCTCAGTTTCTGTTAAAATAAACCATTTATGTATATATTCCTCAGTGATTGACCAAAATGTTAAAAAAATAAATATAGCTATTTCTGGATAGTGGGATTATAGTTAGTCTGCATTTCAGTTAGTCTGCATTCCTTAAAAACATTCCTAACAGTTTATATCAGAAGCAGCATTTAACATGTTTTACCACCGAAGTGTTTTGATTCTTCTAATTCTCAGGAAAACATTCCCAGAAAAATTCTCCCTAAATTGCTACACAATGACTTTACATACAATAGTAAAATTTTACACTTAAAACCTGTTAATTTGTCTTGAATTTTCAAACTCTGCTTACATTTCAGAAAAAGAAATTATAGTAAAATGAGATAATATGAATTGTATTAGTTTGGATGTTTTAAAAACCTTCAAAGACTAAAAATATCAAAGACTACCACTAACAGAGTGGAATCATAATGCTAAATGAGGTGACCTCATTCCCCACCACCTTCCACACTTGGCGGTCACACCGACAACTGCGTACCTGTCATGTAGAAGTCTTTTATTGTCAGCTGAGGGGGCACAAGAGGATCAGCAAGAAGTTGCTGGTTCACTAGCTGCAAAAAAGGAACAGGATGTCAGTAATAGTATTAAAAACTACTTCTGTTACACTAAATGATACACTACTATGAAAGCTGCATGTAGGTAAGTTTTTACCTTGGAGAGCTCGCTTGCTTGCTGGAAATAATTAGCTCCTTCAACGTCATCATATCGAACAAGATTAGGAGAGACTTCTTCCAATCTGGTCCTTACTTGATCCAGAGTCTCATATGGAAGAGTCATACCTGCAATCTATACCATACCAGGCCCAAAGATTGATATAAAGCTTTAATATTTAAAAATTTCAAATATGACAAGGGTGGGCAAAATTATGTTTATGGTTGATATGGAAAATAACTCAATAATAAGCAATAATAAAAGTATAAACTCTGTTTCACATTCACAACTGTAAACCTGTTGCTCACCCCTGTATGTAACTGCAGTATCGAGAAATAATGCAGTACTGCTGAAAAAGCTACTGGTGTCCATTAGTGTGTATATTAAGCACATAGTTAACTAGGGAAAACAACTGTCAAAAATTCTAATCCATATACAGCTATCAGTACATTTGTAATTTATCTTTAGAAAACAGACTGATTATAAAGTAAATGACTAAAGAGATAATACTATGTTAAATATGAATGCTTATACTAACCTGTTACTGATCATGAGGGGTGACCCCTCCAAAAAACAGGAATTTATTTATAAAAACTTGAGTATTTATTCTTACATGTTTAAACTTTAGTCACCTTCCAAGTACTCTCCATTTGATGCAATGCAGCCATTGAGACATTTTTCCACTGCTCAAAGCAGTTTTTAAAGTCACTGATAAGCCTTTCAGTGCTTCCGCTGTTTTTTGTTTCACCTATTCCACATTGACAAAATGTTTCCCTTTGAGGATTTTTCTCATCCAGTGAAACAAACAAACGAAAAGTTGCCTGAGGCAAGATCAGGTGAATAGAGAGGGTGGGACACAGAGGTCATGCTGTTTTTGGTCAAAAACTGCTGAACACTCAGCATGGTGTGCCAGGTGCACCTGTATATTACCCATTATGAAATGGGCAAACACTTTAAGTCTTCAAAAAAAATTCATTCAAGCTGACCCCAGCCTCTCAATGCCAGCTGGTACACTGACACAGATGGGTTCCTAGAACACTCACCTAGCGGGGTAAGCCTGTACTACAAGGGGCCCGTCCTCTACAAGATAATTCTGGGTTTTCCTTGGGTTGCTCCTTGTATAAAAAGTTTAGAGATAATTGTCAATTATTTTAAACCTCATGATGATTCTTTTTACAGTAAAACGAGTTAAAAGAAACATCAAAAAACAAGTCAAAAATTAAAATAACAATTTCAAATCCCCATTTTTAAAACACGTTTTTCCTATAGCAATTGAATATTCAAATCATCTTTGCATTTTAGACTTACATCATCCTAGACTTTGAAAGCCATTCTGATAAGCTAACATGTCAAATATCCCATTAACAGCATCACCAAGAACAAATACCTCCGAGAGGGCTCTTATAATTTTCCAGTCTTCTCTTGCCAAGCCGGGAGGTGTCACTGCTACTTTAGTCTGCTGAGCTCGGCCCTCAGTATTGACATAAGTAGCAGACTTCTCTGTGTAAGCAGCGCCAGGGAGAATAACATCAGCTATAGGAGCTCCAACATCACCATGATGGCCTTGAAAAGATGGAAAATAGCAAACCACATTTTAGTAAAAAACTGATTAGGTTACTATTATGTGAACACAGTATACAACCTTTTAAAATTCCATCTTTAAAATTTTAAGTTTTAAAAATTAATACAGTACTGAAGTGTTGGAATAAAAATCAAAGCCTACCTTGCCTACAATTCAATTCCTTTCCCAAAGAAAATTACTGTTAAAGTACATGGTATGTATCTTCCCAGATTATTGTTCGCAAATGCACAAATATGCATATCATACACACATATATAATGGGAAAGTAGGTACCAGGTATTATTTCTCTTGATGATTACAAAGTGGAAAACCTCAGATGAACATTAGTGAAATTTGGTAAAGTGGAGAAACAAAAAGTGTACACATGAATAAGACAGTGATAATACTGAAAAGGTCATATACAGAAAATAGTATACTGAAAGACTCTCACTCATTAATAGTTTAGCAAAATTGTTGGGGGGCAGGTGTGGAACTGAGTTAAATGAAAGTTTTAACAGCATACAAAGTTTGGTCTCATTTGTGAATGTGTTTGTACATGCACAGGCAAATGTATGAGGCATGCATATCAAAACCACCACCAATAATTACCTCTGGATAGGACTACAATAGAAATAGGATTTCAGTTTATGCATTTTGGTTAAACTTGATCAAACTAAAGACACAAATTATTACACAATGCTTTTTTGTGCCATGAAAAGTCTATTATAAATTTATGGTGTTTATGTGTAAAATGAAGTGGGAAGTTATATAATACTTTTCTCTGTAAAATATCCAACAATCTCTGGACTCCATTTATTCTAGGGAAACTTGATTACATTTACAGTGAATGAGAGTTCAAGAAAATGAGTCAAGCATAAAAAGCCCAAGTAGCACTGTTAAATATAATTAATTTATTCAAGTCCTGTAACATAGGACTCATGATTCTTAACTTTTTGCACTATTTCTTTGAACAGCTGAATTTTAATGTTATATAATATTTAATTGCATAAATAAACCATAATTTATCCATTCCTATTACTGGGAGCATTTAGGTTTCTTCTAATTCTGTTATTAAATAACATCAAGTAGCCCTGGCTGGCATAGCTCAGTGGATTGAGTGTGGGCTGTGAATCAAAGTGTCGCAGGTTCGATTCCCGGTCAGGGCACATGCCTGGGTTGCAGGCTATGACCCCCAGCAACCGCACATCGATGTTTCTCTCTCTCTCTCTATCTCCCTCCCTTCCCTCTCTAAAAAATAAATAAATAAAATCTTAAAAAAAATAACATCAAGTAATAATTTTTAATGGTAATATCAATTACACAACAAATAAAACCTATAATTTGGTTTTTAAAAATATTGGGAGGGTGTGTGGGGGAAACTCCTGAATAAAAAATATTCAATCCACTAAATACTTGCTGTACGGTTTCTAATACATGCAGTGTACTATTCTCTTTTGTTTCCGGTGTCACAGATGCTACCTACCTTGATAAATAATGAAACAATCCTTTGGCAAATCCTGCCGAGTGATACAACCTCCATCTGCTCCTAGGAGAAAGAGCACTTTGGGAGGGTTCTTTCGAATTGCTTCCACCCCAGGTTTATAGCCAAGATCTAAAGCAGCTACTTGGCTTGCAATCCTGTAAAATTAGGGATTTTTAGCACACGTGCAGTGTTTTTGCTATAAAAAATTAAATGTTATAACTGGGCTTTTTTCTATTCAACGCTGTCAAAAACCTTCCCTCACCTTTTTACCCATTTAAAACATGTCAAAACCAGAAACAATCTTCTCCTGTTCTAAGAATGGGAAATAAAGAAACAAGATGCTTATGACACATTTTGTTTCCTCATTAGATAATATTTAATAAAGTAATTCTGGAAACTTTCTACCAATTCCAATTGTTTTAAGTTGATCCTTATTCAATATAGTTAAGCATAAAACACCTGATAAGACAAACACAGTCAATTAGAGAAAAATCAGACGATTTTGAAAACCAAAAGGGATAAATTTAAACACAACGCATAAGGCTGTAATTCCGAGGAAATGATAATTAGTACAGTGGTGTATGTCTTTATGGATTTTTTCCTATGAATATGTATTACTCTTATAAGCAGAAAATCTTTTACAGGAGAGGTCTATAATAACTATGAGTACTTTGAACAATTGTTAAGTCTTTGGTCTAATTTCCTATTATTAACTTTCTTTCTAGAAATAGTAGCCATTCTGAGGACTTACTGTATACAGAGTTTACTGGTCTTTTACCTATTTTTTAAGGGATGAGGGCAGTTCAAACCAACTCCCACTAGATGCTGTTGCTGTCAGACTCTCTGATGGAACCACATCAAAAGAATACTTAGATATAGCCCTGACCCTGTGGCTCAGTTAGTTGGGCAGTGTCCTGCAAAGGGAAGGGTCTCCAGCTCCATTCCCAGTCAGGGCACATGCGTAGGCTGTGGTTCACTCCCTAGTCAGGGCATGTATAAGAGGCAACTGATTGATATTTCTCTCTCACATCGATGTTTCTATCCCTCTCTTTCTCCTCCCCTTCTCCTCTTTCTAAAAATAAATAAAATCTTTTTTTAAAAAGTGACTTTTAAAAAAATCTTTAAAAAAGAATACTTAGACAAAAATTTAACAAAAGAAGCACAAGATTTGTATAACAAAAACTACAAAATAACTTTGAAAGAAATTAAAGACATTAATAAACAGAGAAACATCCTAAATTTATGGATTAGAAGACTTAACATTGTTAAGATGGCAGTACTCCCCAAACTGACATCTAGGCCCACTACGATCCCTATTAAAAATCATAGCTGAATCCTTTGCAATAACTGACCAACTGATCCTAAAATCTTTATGGAATGCAAAAGACCCAGAGCAGCCAAACCTATCTTTAAAATGAACAGTAGCAGAGTCATACTTCCCAATTTAAAAACTTAGCTCCCCTTTCCTCTCTGGCAAGGTACACAGTATTTTTTATCTTAATTTCCCTCATTCTAAGCCTTGAAGTCTCTCTGTCCTGCTCTCAAAGATCCAGGTAGACTCACACTCACTTATGACAGAGCCCACCTCATCTTGGAAAGCAAATTGAGTAAGTCTAAGTTTCTTCTGGGAAAATGATCAGTAAACAATAGAACTACAGGGCCTATGGAAAGATGCTTCAAAAATTAGGTCCTTGCCAGGTTGGTTAGAGAATCATCCCCATATACAAAGGTTGCTGGTTCCATCTCCATTCAGGGCACATACAATAAGCAACCAAAGAATGCATAAACAGAACAACAAATTCATGTTTCTCTCTCTCTCACTCTCTCTCCCCAATCAATAAAAAATAAATAAATAAAAGATTCTCTAAGAATTAGAAAACATGCTTTACTCTGAAATAGACCTACTGTAAGAAAAGTTTTAAGATGTTTCATGTTTTCACTACAGTAAACTTTCACTGAAAATGGTATCTTGTGAGAATAAAATAAAAAACAAGGTTAATAAATTAAAAATTACAATTATGTCAGTGATCTCCAGAATGAAAACTCACAAAATGATAGGAGATAATTTAAGGACTTTTCTCCAAACACATAGAAAAAGAAGTAAGAAAAATTTTTAAAGAGCCAAATGTCTGAAGGGCCAACCAATGCATAACAAACAGAAGCCTCTGTATGAGAGCAAATAACAATATAAAAGTAAACTGATAAGGCATTTCTGAACTTAAGAAAACAATTATTTTCCTTTCCATTTAAGAAAGGAGAGTATCTATGATATTCCCAGGCAAAAGTAATAGCAATTGAGTGTCACCCAGTTATATTATAGGAGAATTTTCTTAACATTAAAAAAAATAAGGAACCTGGCTGTGGATGGTGTGGTTCAGTGGATTGAGTGCTGGCCTGTGACCAAAGGGTCACCAGTTCAATTCCCAGTCAGGACACATGCCTAGGTTGTGGGCCAGGTCCCCAGTGTAGGGTAGGCAAGAGGCAACCACACACTGATGTTTTTCTCTGTCTCTTTCTCCCTCTCTTCCCCTCTTTAGAAGTGAATAAATACAATTTAAAAAAAAAAAAAAAAAAAGGAAGAAAAGAAAACCAAACGATGGGCAGGGAGACAGGCACACACATGTACATGTATAAAATCAGGTTGTCAGAGACAAAACAGACTAAGTGAGATTCTCATCAAATATCAAATGAAAGAATGGGTGAAAAACACTGAGTATTAAAGGAAGAGACAGTGATCTTTGTACCTAGCCTACTGCTCCTTTGTAAGAAGGACACAGAAAAACACTGCCAGACATTCAGGAATTAAAAATAAAAGTTACTAATCTAGTACTCATTCAGAAAAAAGAAACAACTACATGAATAAAGACAGATGCAAAAGTAACAATTATGCCTCAAAAGGATCTAAAAGTGGTCAATGAAAGTAAATTCTACCTAAAAATATTAAGTTTAAAAAATATATGATGATCTACCATGCCAAATTAAACCAGTAAGAGGAGAAATATTAATATTGAAGTGAATATTTAAAAATGCATTTGAACATTTTTAAATTTCAAAAATTTATCTATTATAGTTAAAAAGGTATATAGTCCCAATTCTTAAAAAAATCTGAAGAATCTGAAATATAATACTTAAGGTAGAAAGGATTATATGACATGGAAAAACTGATTCACTAACATACAAATGGTACAATCTTTCTAAAACGACTTGGAAATACACATTAAGAACTTCAGAAATGTTTATCGTGTTTGCCCCAACAGTTCTACTTTTAAAAACATACACTAAGGAAATAATCTGAAGTGCAGAGGTATCTGTGTATCACTGCATGACTTAAATAAAGGTGAGGTCAATTCACATGGTAAGAAGAAATGGCTAAAATATATTTATTCAGGATATGAAATAGCCACTACAGTTTGTATTTATAAAGAATTTCTAATGATGGGAAGAAATTTTTGTTTGTTAATATAAATCGACCAAAATCAGGACACACACTTTTATACGCAATATGATTTCAACTATATAACTAAAAAAACATTTGTGCAGGAAGTAAAAGGCCAGACAAAAGTGCACCAAAATACCAATGGTGGTGCCCTGGCCAGATAGCTCAGTTGGTTAGAGCATCGTCCTTATACGCCAAGGTTGTGGGTTTGATCCCCAGTTAAGGCACATACAAGAATCAACCAATGAATGCATAAATAAGCAGAACAACAAATCTATGTTGTTCTCTCTCTAAATGAATTTTTTAGAAAGCTATAAAAAATAACAACAGTAATTATCTACAAACAGTGGAATAAGAATAATTTCTATTTTGTATACTTTCTTCTCTTTAAAACTTTCTTAAACTTGCATTATCCATATAGTCAGCAAAACACTTTACTTCAGATATATCCTCATGTTAGCTTACATTTTCATCATTTAATCAAAGATTTGTTGCAACTTTTGAAACAAGTTATACTGGTACAGATTTTCAAGATCTTCTCAGCACTTACTGCTATTTTGGATATTTTTAGTAATATTTATTATCCTGGGTTTTTCTCACACAGATAGTAAAGGTTTCTATTTCATACCAGCTACTGAGATAATGTTAAATATTAAGCTATTTGTAAATCTAAATGTGACAATGTGATACACACATACATGAAATTACTTGAACTTTATGTTATATAAAACAATACCCAACATACCTGTGGAGGATATTCATAACCTTCCAGTCACCAGCAACGCCACTGCTTGTCCGAACCTTCTGAGCAATGCTGGAGACAGCTGCAAGAATTGCTGCCCCATCATTTCTTTGGAGTGCAGAACTGCCTAAAACCACCATAGGTTTTTTAGCTTCCTTTAGGACCTATTTAAAGTAATATATTTTGATTAAAAAAAAAAACTAAACTTAACCAAATCTGTATCTACAATATGTTGTCTGGAAGTTTTAGTCAGCCAACGTATAGACATGCATATACCACATTTAATAAAAACATCTTGCCAGTGCTATGTGAAATGGTTAAACAAGTACCAGATCAAACAGACTTTCTAAAGTAAGCATTGGGAATCCCAATGCTTCAAAATCCCAGCCAAATACCCTTTGGTCAGAATGACTGTGGGTAGGTCCCAGAAAAATTGGGGAATGTTCCCTAGAGAGATTCAGGTCGTACTATGTAACAGGAGAAACCATGCTAAGGTACCACGCCTACTGTTTTCTATCTACTTACCACGCTCCAGACAAGGAGGATGTGGTGGGAAAAGCAATGATCACGAGATCACAATGCATTTTTCTTTCAAACGCAGTAACTTCCTGAATGCCAAAAACTAAGAGGGAGTGCATCCCAAGAGCAAAGGGAACTAGAGATTTGGTGGAGGATGAAAAAACTAGAAGTAAAGCTGTAGCCTACATAGCTCACTCTCCTGCCCATCCTCTGTATCATTCTTCAATAAACAAATGGCCCCAATCAAAGGATCAGCACGAGAATCACGCCTACATACTACAGAAAGGAGGCCATTCATTGCAAGTGGCATTTCCCAAGGAAATGTGAAGAGTTCAGAGAAAGTTTTCAATAGCCTCAAACAAAATGAAAAAACAACACACTCTTTACGCACTTAAAAAAAAAGTTCAAATAAGTGATATAATAGAGAGTATTATACAATAGAAGATTTTTATATCAGAACTCAGAAAAGAACTGGGGGAGAAATTAGGTAAGAACACCATTCCAGAAACAGCAAAAACCAAAATACAACATGACTGTAAATATAGGAACAGAAAGACAAGCTATAGACAATTATAGAAAACAAACTGAAAAATAACAAAAGAAAAAAACGACAGAAAAGATAGAAAAGGGGATCCAATATCTGCATCGCTGAATTCTTGATTAAGGGAACAGAACTAATTATTTAATAAAAAACATTTAAATATATAATTGAAGCAAATTTTCCTGAAGACTAATCACCTTCTGAAGCATGGGGAGGAGAACTAGAGATACAAGAGAGATCCTAAATATTTTAGAAATCTTTTTGATTACTGTAATCACGGTACGTTTTTCCTATTCAAAACAAATAGAGCTTGGCTGTTTCGTCCCTTTGCACTTGCCTTTCTCCTTATATACACCTGAGGCTATAAATGAAGCAATCATCTTGGAACCGGGAGGAGAAGCCCACACAAACACTCGAGTGATCAAATGCAGGGAGGACAGCAGAGCAAGAAGACTCCTTCCTTGATGACATCCTGGGAGAGCGGCCCCATCTGTCAAACCGCTTATCCCCAGAACCACTGTTACGTAAAAAAGAAAAACTCCTCACATTTTTTAACAATCATCACCCCAACACACATACACACAAATCCTAAAATAAAGAGAACCCTGAATCTTCCGACTGAAAGGCACACCATGTCAGACTAAAAAACGGATAGAGAACTACCACCATTAAGACAGATTCTGGTGAAGTTACTAAATTTCAAGGATGAAGAATCAAGAATATACTATCAAGAAAAAGTATCTAGACAGGGAAAAAATATTAGGATAGGGTTGGGGAGAATACAGCTGATTTCAGGCTTTTCCATAGTAACAAAAGGTACCATAGTTTATATAAAGTTTAGAGAAAGAAAAAAGTGTGACCTGGGATCTTTTTATCTGCTAAGGCTCTCTTCAGAATACTAGACATTCTCAAGCAAGCAAGAACTCAAGGAACAGGGCACCAATGAGCCCCTCTTGAAAAAAATAAGAAATAAAAGACTCTATTCTACAGACAGCAATGAAATGAATGTAAATAAAGCACTCAAAAATAAAAAAGTCAAGTAAAATTTCCTTTAGGTATAATTAACTCTTGAAATAAAGACTCCATTGAAGGTTCAAGTTCAATCCTTTTAGTTCCATTTCCATTTCTTTTCTGATAATTTCAAGTAAAATTAAGCTCTGGTAAATAAAAATAGCATACACAGTATCATCTCTTTTTTGTTTGCTTGTGCACTCATCTATCTTGCTCTACAGATGAACAGAGAGATGGTTACGATATTTTATCAATAGCTGTTTGGGGTGGTGGAATTTTGAATGTTTTACTTTCTTCCATGATCTTGTCTATACTGCTGTAATCTTTAATGATAATTATATATTGTTATTACAAACACAAGAAATTTTTAAAATAATATTTAAAAATCAACAAGAGTAGATATAGGTAACTTGAAAGCACCTGGCTGAATGGATGGCTACCGGAAGCAATGTCTTGAAGAATTTTTGGGGAATCTCCCAGATGGTCATATCTGTAAGTGAGATCCACTTGGGTGCCTATAAGGGCCACTTTTAACTCATTATGAAGCCAGCTGAAAAAAACAACAACAAACTTTTTAGAACTAGATTACTAAGTTATTGGCCTAATTAATGGTAGGTGTTATAAAATGTTAAAAGCATAAAAGCACTAATAGGATATTTAACCTTAACAGATGCAATTTTTTGTGTACCTTTCAAAATAAAATGTTACAGAAGTACACACAAAGGTAATTCAATGAATTGATTTTCTGTGCAAAAATGCTAACTCTATAAACCAGCTATAAACAAAGACTTTAATTTCAGAATAATCTGTAGTGTTTATTTTTCCATATTTATATGTTATCTCCTAATTAGTCACTCAAGTCATTTAAACATATTCTATGAAAGCAAGCTATATGATTCATATTTAATCTATATGGCATAGAAGTATGGATCCTCCCCCTGAAATAGTTACATATGTGGTGACCACATGTTCTGAGCAGTCTGAGACAGTGCTGATTTTTAGCTGTTATCCTGGAGTAATTAACGATCCCATTTCACTCTCAACAGTGTCCCAGTTTAGACAATAAATTATATGGTTGACCTACTCATACATCTCTAAGATATAAAAAAAAATCAAGACACATTCTACAAAATAACTGGCCGTTTTTCTCAAAAAGCACCAAGGAGCCATGACACTAATAATGTGTGACTACAGACTGGATTCTGGCAGGAAAAAAATTCTTCTAAAAGAAATTACAGGAAAAGTTGGTAGAATCTGAATATAAACTGTGGATTAGGTAGTACTGTAACAATAATAAGTACTTGATTATTTAAGAGAATGTCCCTTGTTCTTGGGAAATCCACACAAGTTTTTATGGATAAAGGGACATCAATGTGTACAACTTATTTTCAAATAATCCAGAAAATTACATTCATACATTTATACACAGAACAATAATAATAAATGACAAAATGTTAACATTGGTTAATCTGGGTGAAGAGTATTACAAAAAACACTATATACAAAAACTATTTCAGACATCTTGAGTTATTATAAATGAGACAAAATAAAAAGATTGGGGTGGGAGGGAATGGACCTGTTAGAAATTGTCCTAAAATAATCTTTTGAACTTATTTTGTTTAAAGATTTTATTAATTTATTTTTAAAGAGGAAATATGGGAGAAAAAAAGGGAGAGAAACCTTGCTGCATGAGAGACACATTGATCAGTTCCTCTCACAAGCCCCCACCTCGGGACCCGGCCTACAACCCAGGCATGTGCCCTGATCGGGAATCAATCCTGCAACCTTTTGGTCCTCAGGCTGGCTTTCAGTCCACTGAGCCACACCCACCAGGGCAATCTTTTGAAGTTCTACTCCCACTAACGTTATTAGAAATCAACTAAAATAATAATTTATCATATATAAAATAAATTATTATATATTTTTAAACCCAGAATATTATTACTAACCTCTTCCGAATTCTAGCATTAAACAGTGGTGCCTCAAAACGTGGATTTGTACCAACCAGAAGGACAACATCTGCCTCTTCCACACCAGCAATTGTAGTATTAAGAAGATAATTGGAACGCAAATCTGTGCTAGAAACACAAAATTAAAAATACAAGTTTACTTTAATGGATCCTCCAGGAGCTCCTGGTCTGACCCTGGCCTACATGTGAAAATAAACTGGTGGGCATGCTGGAGAACCCAAGTTGTCACATTTCAGTTATTGATACTACAGATGTGCCAGCTTATATCAAGGGAAGGGAGAGCGGAGGGGAGAGAAAAGAAAACAAAAAAGGGGAGGGGGAGGGAGGAGAGCAGAGGTGAGAAGAGAGCAGGGGAGGATGATAGCTTCGTATTTCTCACCCAGCCCCTGCAGTGGGGAAGACCTCTTCGGTGCACAGGGTGTCAGAGTCCACTCTATTAAGCAAATCTTTGAGAGCTACTAGGGCTTCAGCATCCACCAAACCACCTGCGATTGCTGCCACATCCTTGCCTTGAAAACTCTGCAACTAGAAATGAATGCAAAGGATATCACCAAGAAGTTTTTATTCAGCAAAGACCACAATGAATTATTCAGAAAATAAAACAATGATCACTTTCAACTGTAACTAAAAAATAAACTAAAAAAAAACAAACTAATCATTTTCAAGTAGAAAAATATACACTTTTTTTTTTTTAACTTTAGAGAGAGAGGGGAAAGAGGGGTGGGAGGGAAAGTGGGGGAGGGAGGGAGAAGAGATAAAGAGAAACACAGATTTTTATTGTTCTACCTATTTATGCACTCTTTGGTTGATTCTTGTATACACCCTGACTGGAGATCAATCCCACGACCTTGGTGTATCGGGACTACACTCTAACCAACGGACCTACCTCGCCAGGGCCAGAAACAAACTTTTAATAAAAAGTTTTATACCAGCCCTAGCCACATGGCTAAGTTGGTTGCAGCGTCATCCCACACACCAAAAGGTTGCGGCTTCGATCCCTGGTCAGGGTGTGTGCAGGAGGCGACAGGTTGATGTTTCTCTCACTCCCTCCTTCTCTCTTTAGAATCATTAAGTATATCCTCAGGTGGGAATTAATAAAAAAATGTTTTACACCCATTATCGATTAATCTAAAAGTGAGAAGCAGAGGTATATGTGGTGCCAAAGCTAACAATACCGGCTTGGAGAGAAGCTGTTTTAAATTAGGAACAAAAGAGTCTCAAAATGAGGTCTGGAGGATAAAGACAAGGAGTTACAGTTAAATACAACTTCTTTGCAAGCATCTGTCATTCCCTCAATCCCTTTATGTATGTTGTCATTTTCTGACCAGAAAGCCATTCCCTCTGTTTTTGCTCTGGCAAGCCAGTACTCATTCTTTAATTTTGCCTGAGGAGTCACCTTATCTAGGAAGGTATCCCTGATATGCCAGCCCTGGTTAGGCACCCCTCCTATATCCTCTTTCATACACCACTTCCTACACAACTACCCAAAGCAGCATTGTAACTGCCTAATTATACATCTTTCCCTTCAAGATTGTGGGAGAGGTGAGCAGTATCTATATCCCTATATCTAGCATGACATCTGGCATACAGTTCTCAATAAATGTCTGTCAAAGATAATCTTGGTAAAAGCAAAGAAGCGAAGAAACATATATCCCTTCTTCACTGCAAAGATATCCTTTGAAAATCACAAATACTATGCATTCCATGTTTCCATGTTTTACCATTCCAGCTACACGAGAGAGCGCATCCTCCCAGGAGGTGTAGGTTAAAAGCCCCTTTTCGTTTCTGACCATCGGCTCGGTAAGCCTTTGACGTTTCAGCCCATCGTAGGCAAATCTAGATAACAGAAATTACACTATTTGTGGGATCTTGCTATAGAGGCAACTATAATTTTCAAGTTTAAAATCTAAAAGAAATCTTATTTAAATACAGTATTGGTTAAAGTATCCACTATGATCATAAATATCTTAATACAAGTTTTTTAATCCCAGGTTTTTATGGAGATGAACTAATAAGTATTTTATGAACATCAACTAAAAACTAAAACACCATCTGAAAAGTTTGCCTTCTGATAACTTATTTATAGCTACCTGAATAATCTTAAAATTATTAATACAAACAATATGACAGCCGAAATATCTGAATCATTTTTATTTATAAAACCCAAGTACCTCTAGAGAGTTTATCAAAATTATGCTGTATACTTCCCGCCAAGATGGAGGTGTAGGTAGACACACTGTGCCTCTTCGCACAACCAAAAGAAGGACACCAATTTAAAAACAAAAAACAACCAGAACTGACAGAAAATAAAACTGTATGGAAGTCCGACAACCAAGAAGTTAAAGAAGAAACATTCATCCAGACCAGTAGGAGGGGCGGAGACAGACAGCTGGGCAGAGAGGACTCATGGCAAGGTGGTAGCCGGCAGGCAAGGTGGCAACTAGAGGAGCCGGGGGTCCCACATTCACATGCAGATAAACCAGGAGGATCAACTGGGGAATGAGACAGACCCCATGGCCCAGGGCTCCAGTGAGGGGAAATAAAGGCTCAAACCACTGATTGAAAACACCTGTGGGGACTGAGGCAGCAGGAAAACTCCCAGCCTCACAGGAGAGTTCGTTGGAAAGACCCACATGGTGTTAGAACGTACACAAACCTACCCACACAGAAATCAGCACCAGAAGGGCCCACTTTGCTTGTGGGTAGTGGGGGAAGTGACTGACTGAGAACCAGCAGAGAGTGGAGCAAGCGCCATAGTTCCCTCTCAGACCCCTTCCCCACATACAGCATCACAGCCCAGTGGCCTGGGCTGCCCTGCCCTGGTGAATACCTAAGGTTCCACCCCTTACTAAACAGGCGCACTGAGAAAAAAAAATGGCCCAAATGAAAGAACAGATCAAAGCTTCAGAAAAAATACAACTAAACAGTGAAGAGATAGCCAACCTGTCAGATACACAGTTCAAAGCACTGGTGATCAGGATGCTCACAGAATTGGTTGAATTTGGTCGCAAATTAGATGAAAAAATGAAGACTACACTACGTGAAATAAAGGAAAATGTACAGGGAACCAATAGTGATGGGAAGGAAACTGGGACTCAAATCAATGGAGTGGACCAGAAGGAAGAAAGAAACATTCAACCAGAAAAGAATAAAGAAATAAGAATTCAAAAAAATGAGGAGAGGCTTAAGAACCTCCAGGACATCTTTAAACATTCCAACATCCAGATTATAGGGATACCAGTAGGAGAAGAAGAAGAGCAACAAATTGAAACTTATTTGACAAATAAAGAAGGCGAACTTCCCCAATCTGGCAAAGGAAAGAGACTTCCAGGAAGTCCAGGAAGCCCAGAGGGTCCCAAAGAAGTTGGACCCAAGGAGGAACACACCAAGACACATTATAATTACACTACCCAAGATTAAAAATAAGGAGAGAATCTTAGAACTAGCAAGAGAAAGGAGACAATTACCTACAAAGGAGTTCCCATTAGATTATCAGCTGATTTCTCAGAAGAGACCTTACAGGCAAGAAGAGGCTGGAAAGAAATATTCCAAGTCATGAAAGACAAGGACCTATATCCAAGATTGCTCTATCCAGCAAAGCCTTCATTTAGAATGGAAGGGCAGATAAAGTGCTTCTCAGATAAGGTCAAGTTAAAGGAGTTCATCATTACCAAGCCCTTATTATATGAAATGTTAAAGGGACTTATCTAAGGAAAAGAAGATAAAAATATGGACAATAAAATGATAGTAAACTCAATTATTAACAACCACACCTAAAACTAAAACAAAAGCAAACTAAGCAAGCAACTACAACAGGAACAGAACCACAGAAATGGAAAACACATGGTGGGTTATCAAAAGGGGAGTGGGAGGGGGACAGAGGGGGAAAAAGTACAGAGAATAAGTAACATAAATGGTAGGTAGAAAATAGACAGGCAGAGGTTAAGAATAGTATGGGAAATGTAGAAGCCAAGAACTTATATGTATGACCCAAGGACATGAACTAAGGTGGGGGAATGCAGGTGGGAGGGGGTGTGCAGGGCAGAGGAGAATAAAGGGGAGAAAATGGGACAACTGTAATAACATAATCAATAAAATATATTTAAAAATTATGTACAAACTATAACTTGTATTTAGCTTCTTTTCTCCAACGAACCAACTGACATATCTTCATCTACTTCAATTTCTCCATTTAGAGGAAAAAATATTTCTCCAAGTTAATGTGAATACCAACAATAGATCTAGGACTATTAATGTCAGTTTTGTCCAATTCTCTATATAAGTAGTCCACATTTTAATATTCATTAATTAATTTGCAACTATGAAAGACAGTTCTTTAGAACTAAATTATAAAGTTTCCTTTAAGTCAACTGCAAAAGGAAAACAGTACAGCATATACCTGGTTTTGTCAGAGATCCACTCTTCATTGATGTCCTCATGCATTCTAGGCAGAATCCTCATCACCTCCCCAGTTCTTGTGCTTACCACAATATTGCTTCCAACTGCATCCATGACATCAATGGATTCAGTCTTTCTGAGAAAAGAAATACATAGACACTACTTACTATTGGATTTTATGACTAAGAACAAAGTTTCTGCCATCTGATTTACCCCAAACAAAAAATTTTACAATTACTTTCCTTTCTGAATTTCTAAAAATAATGGAACTCAAAGAAAATGCTAAAAAACAAACACACACAAAAAAACCCTTAGGTTTGGACACATGACATAAATTTTTAAAGCAAAAATGAAGCCCTTAAAACTGTTATCTGATATATAAGCCAAGTGGAAGGGCTCCAAATAGGCAAATCAGAAACAATTTGAATATCAAAATAAATAAGGAAGAGAGAGATTTCTGGTTTTGGTCAGTTATGGAGTTTGACAAATCCTTCCTCCAAAAATGGCAAAAATTTAACTGAACAAAATTCACAAAGCAACCAATTCAGTACTATGGAACTCTACCAAAGGGATACAACACCGTGAGAAACTTTGACACCTGGAAAAATTGTCAAACTTTTGAGTAAGAGCAGTGAAAATCGGCAGTGTTCTGTCTTGAGGCTGTTCCTACCCGTCTCCCACCAGCCTAAACTGGAGGTTTTGCTGGGGAAGGGCAGGCTGTGAAGATGGCAGCTTCTTTCCTGCCGGTGAGGACTCGCTCAGTTTGGGGCAGTGAGCAAAGCTGTCTGTAGGAGTATCACAGAGATCCTTGAGCTGAGGAGAGCCAAAGTACTAGCCTGGGGCTATAATCATAGTTGGGGCAAACGTTCCTGGGGGAGGCTGTGCATTTATGTACAGCTCAGGCCAAAGAGGGCCTATGCTACTGGACAACACCAAGATTCAAAGTGCCCAGTGGAAAGCACAAGCTGGGTTGACTTCAAAACAGCCTGAACTTTGAATGTGCTCCTCTATTCTCACAGATCCACTGGCAGAGTCTGGAAGCCTTATTGGCTCAAAGCACTTGAGCATAATCATTATCTGATCACTTAGCTCTGCAGAAAGGGTAACTCCTAAGAAGACTTACTTAAAAATAAAAACAAGGCCCTGGCTAGTGGGGCTCAATGGATTGGGCGTGAACCTGTAAACCAAAGGGTCTCAGGTTCAGTCCCCAGTCAGGGCACATGCCTGGGTTGTGGGCCAGGACCCCAGGGTGGGGGCGCATGAGAGGCAACCACACATTGATGTGCCACTCCCTCTAAAGATAAAAAAAATAAAAATCTTTAAAAAAGTAAATAAATACAAGAATATCAAATACATTCAAAGAAAAGTCATGTTTAAAGAATTAAAGAAAAATATGACAACCATGAATCAACAAGTAAAAAGTCCCAGTAAGGACATAAAAATTATTTTCAAAAAACCAAACAGAAATTCTGTCATTGAAAAGTATAACTGGCCCTGGCTAGTTGGTTAGTGGTAGGTTGACATGCCAAGGTTGTGGGTTCAATCCCTGGTTAAGGCACATACAAGAATCAACTACTGAATGCACAAATAAGTGGGACAACAAATCAATGTTTTTTTTCTCTCTCCCCCTTCCTCACTCTCTCTAAAATCAATAAATTTAAAAAAAAAACGTATACCTGCAATAAAAAATTTACTACAAGGGCTCAAAATGGGAAAAGAAGAATGTGTAAGCTTGGTGACAGATGAATAGAAATTATCCAATCTGAAGAACAAAAAGAAAAAAAAGATTTAAGAAAAATAAACAGTGTCTCAAGACCCGTGGGACAACAGGAGAAGGGAACAAACTCTGGATTTAAACATCTCAGTTATGCACTGTTGCCCCGATCCAGTCCTTTGGTGTTCATAAATACATGGCTTAACCCCTGGAATTTTCAGAAAATCCCATGTACTTTGTGGAGGAAGTTTAAAATCAGAGGCAATTTGATATGTTCCTATAACCTCGAAAATATTCAAACCTGTTGCACCTACCTACTCCATTTCTTGGTTTAATCAAAAAAGAATCAGAGACATATAAGAAAATTTATGAATAACAATGTTTATCAGAGATTTATAATTATAAAAAAATAGAAAAAACTACCTAATAATAGGAATTGGTTAAATAAAGTATGCTATATCCACACAGTTAAAAACTTAATGTACAATGAAGAGATTATAAATTTTTTTTAAATGAAGACAATTTTACTCTTTGGAAGATCAAGTGACTAAAATAATTTTGTGGTTAAGTGCTATGGAATTTATTTCCAAGAAAACTACAATTACTTTACACAAGTTCATTCTATCATTCAATCTGTAACTATTTATCTTCCATCAAGAGTTTACTTAAAGCAAACAAATAATAATTTACCAGACCAAAACAATTAGGACTCAGGAAGAAAATAAATCTTAAACATTTTTTAACAGTAGCAAATTAAAGGACAAAAAATTGTTGTCAACAAACACAGTGATGAGTGAGTACCTTGTTTCCCAAGGCCGGGCAGTAAAGGCGTAGGGCTTAGAGGTCAGGGCACCCACAGGACAGATATCAATGATATTCCCAGACAGTTCGGACATAAACATCTTTTCAACGTATGTGCCAACTTGCATGTCATTTCCTCTGCCTGTTGTGCCCAAATCATCTACTCCTGCAATCTCACTTGCAAACCTGCAAGAGAAATGTGTACCGTCAAACGGTTAAATCTAGCAAAACTACCTCCTTTCCTACTCATGATCACAAAGAGATAATCAGTTTCAAAGCACTAAAAAAAGATATGAGTATATTTTCAATAGCAAGCATAGTCCCTAGAAAAACATAATTCAATAAATGTTTGCTTTTAATTTGAGGCATAAGACACATACATAAAATTGCACAAATAGTGTAGTTATATGCATATAGCTTAGCAAGTTATCACAGAGTTAATGCTTAGATTTTGATTTTTAAATCCAACTGACAATATTTCCTGAAAGTGACCAACTTACTCATTTTATTGGCTGATGCAAAAAAACATTAAAAACTTCCCTCTTCTCCCACCAAATAAAAGTGTTAGCCCACCAATCTTTGTGAATATTCAGTAACTACACAAATAATATTGCAGAAGAGGGGGATAACTACCTGATGCAGCGAGTACACTGTATACATCTAGTCATGATGGTCTTGACCAATGGCCCAATGTTCTTGTCCTCTACAGCACGTTTCCCCTCTAAAAATCGGCTCCTATCACTTCCAAACATCATGGACTGGTCCTTAAACGGATTATGAGAGAGTTATCTGATTCTGCTAACAAAATGAGACAATCAAAAAGTCTTATGGAATTAGACTACATACCTGCAGATCACATTCGCCTCCCTGATCACAGATAGGACAGTCCAGTGGGTGATTTGCTAATAAGAACTCCATCACACCTTCTCTGTATGAAAAATTGTTAATATATAATATGGTTTACCCATATGCTATTTAAATAACCTTCACAGATGCATGTTGTCACAGAGTTAGTATTAATTTTACACTTATCTGATATGTCAATATAACCATCATTTTGAATAGTATTAAACACAACCTAAAAAAACACGTACAGAAGCCTAGAATAAACTATTATTAGAGAATGTAGAAAATTATAACTTACAGTAATACAAAATTACCAAAACTTGCTGAATGGTCCTCAGAAAACACATTAATTCAAAACAAAAAACAAACATACAAATGCAAAGCAAAACCAGACATAACCAGTACCAGTACGGTAGCATATCACTGCAGTAATCCCAGCTCAACAATTTTCTGCTCTAAGTTTCTAAACCAAGAAACAATGAAGTACCTGGCTTTCTTAGTTTTCTCTGAGTTTGTCAGGATATTCCAACCTTTCATTACTGGCATGGCACAAGCAGCTACAACCTAAAATTTCAGTGGAGACATCTGTAAATATTTGTATTTATTTGTAATTATAAGTAACCTAATACATAAAAACATTAAATTATACTTTTGAAAACAAGCAAAAAAGAGTATTTTTGAATGATGACTTTTTGAAGTTTTCATAGTCATGATAATCTGACCTTTACATTTCTTTTAGAATAAGACATCCTACGTCTTAATTTTATTCTAATTGTTAATAAATTTTTTCAGTGCAATTTTTTATAAGAGATTCTGAAACAAAACATCAAACTAACTGTTTTCTGATTAGCAGGCTCTACTGATTTAAAACTGCATAAACCAAATGAGATTAACCTGAAAGTGAACCTCTTCGCTGCAACCCTTTCCTCTAGTGAAAATGGCACAACATACAAGTACTTCCGACGTCCTGTTTGGCAACTGCACATCCTAGCTGTGTGTCATACAGCCATTTGGAAATACTGGCAGTTGTTAAGAAGTCACCTTTATGTCTAAAACTGTTACAATTATACAACATGCATTTACAAAACACCTTCATTGATGAGTCTGCACTTCTGAAGAGAACCAATTGCACAAAAAATAAATGTATAGATAAAAGTAAACAGGGCTACATTCTCCACTATAATAATACTGATTCTAAATACAGTTTGCTGCAAAATTTAAAGTTTTCTACCTTCTACAGCATGGTGTGGAATTTTAGGTATCAAGTACCTTGGGAGCTTTCTCGATTTCAACAAGGCACATCCTGCAGTTTCCAGCAACTGACAACCTTTCATGATAACAGAATCGAGGGATCTGCATGCCAACCTTTTCACAAGCCTAGAAAACAACACGTAAGAAACTTTTGCATTAGAATAGCCTGACTCATCCTTGTCTTGCCCAGAACACTAAAACACAGGGAGGGAAAAATGAGGCCATCCCCTACCTACCTCATTACTCCTATTTATAAATATCTGTATCTTCATTCTCACTTCATCCCTGAAGAGATTTCCCTCTTTTGTTCTTGATTCCAACCTGTCTGCTCTGAAGCTGACTCTTTAAGGATCCTCAGCATGTCTACAACTTGTGTGGAAGAAACTAGAATGAAGAATCCTCAGACTGTGCTGAAGGCTTGATCCCCCCCACCCCCTTTCCGCTCTGAACCACTGTTCACGATGCCCCTTCAAACTCTGTCCCAGTGGTCCAATACATGGACTTCCTCTCTGCCTAACTGTCCTCCTTTGGATCACAGACTCCACTTCACACTGTCCAGCTGGCTATGATCTAGTTCTTCCTTTGGCTCCACATACCCCACCCAGGACTTACTCTCCCATTGTGGCTAAAGCTCTTCCCAGGTCCTGTTTGCCTAGTAGGGGAGATTAGTTCTGATCTACCAATTACCATTTCTCCTTCTCTGAGCCTGTAATAAACGTATGTATCCAAATTTCTTCCAGAGTTAGTTCTTCTAGCCTTAGCCCATGCTAAAGCAATCTCATCAATGTCCAATGTCTTAACTACTTAGTCAGTAGAAATGAACCGCATCTACCTACGTGCTGCATGCAGTGGGTACAGTAGTGAGCGAGACAGACATTGTCCCAGCCTTTGTACTATCTCCTGTTTCAAGTGATTACATCTAACCTTGATCTGCAACCCAGAGTCCTCCCTTCTGCAAGCTTTAAACTTAAGTAGGCGTTTATCCAAGTGTATGCTCCATAGAGTTAAAGTTCAACCTATTTCTGTCTCTTACTAACACATCCCCAAATAAACTAACAAAGAATTCATAAAAACTCCTCTGCTTTTCATCACTCCTAAAGGACTGCCTAGCTATATCTCACTCTCCTTTGACTCAGCCATCATGTGTTCATTCCCACTGCTACTATCTATTTTAGGCCTTTTCAATTCCCACTCCACTATAGCAAGATACTCTTTCCTTGTCTCTCACTCCAGTTTTGTTACTCTCCAAGCCTTCATGCTACTGTCACTGCCATACTCCTTAACAGCCATGAAAATGCCTGATGGGTCAAACCACAGGCACTTCAGCATAGCATGCATCTTCTTTCGTGGCTGGACCTTGCCTACCAGAATAACTTGACTTCCTGTTACCTAATCTTCTACATACCCCTTACGCTCCATCAATACCAAACTATGTGAAGCTTCCTCGTCCACAACCTTCACAATCTCCTCAGTGATAGCCTGATACATACCTCACATCTCTTTCCACCACCTCCTGTTCCTACCTAACTACCCTGCACTATACCTGGAACACATTTTTGTTACATATTTATTGTTTACATGTCTACGCCTGGCAGAGAGCCTGGAAGTGGGGGCTGAAATGAACAAAGGGCATTCAGCTCTGTGGTAACTTGCAGATGGAACAGAACATCACTTCTGCATGACCGATTTTGTCAGTTCTAGAGGAAATTAGAGAAACTAAATATTGAAGAATGTATTACCCTTCATTTACCTGTTTTGTAGGTTATATTCCTAGAAATATACTGAAAACAGAAAGGTTATATGAAAGTCAAAAGCATCAAGTAGGCTCACCACAAACAAAGGTTACCTTCTCTCCAAACTTACCCATATTAACTAATAATTTATTTCAAATTTCTCAGTGAGTATTGGTGTGGAAGGTAGAAGTGAAAAGAACTGCCATAAATCACCATGAAAGTCAGACACAGAGAAATGACAGCTTTCTCTGAAATGCCAAGATTTCAAGTCAAACTTATTTTCATGTAATTTTACCACCCCTAGCTCTTTTATGAGCATTTATTAAGGAATCTTAAAAACTTTAGAGGAAAATTAAACTGCATAAAGGAAATAAGTTGGTATTTAGAAAAAAGCAGAACATACACAAAAACACAGAATTAGAACATATGCCTACCTGAAGGACGGTAGTTCCCGGCTCCACCATGACAGACTGACCATCAACAAATACTTCAATCAAGTTGCTTGCTGCTGTGGCAGTTGTCCGAACTGACCATCAAAAATATTGACGTGAAAGATAACAGGGTTGAATGTATTATAGCAGAAGATAATGGATTAATTAACTCTGACCTTATAAGCCTAAAATTTCTCTAGACTGAAAATTATATAACATTGAATTAGAAAAAAAGGCTTTTTAAATCCTGACTACCAAACAGAATATAGTTGTCTACTTTTAATAATTAAAACTTTTAATACCACTGAAAATATGTTCACGGGAAGGATACTTTCTAAAAGTAGGATGACTATTTTTTCCATTTTGGCACTGATGGGCAGTTCTGACTACTTTCTATTCCATGATAGTTTCTATAAGCTGTTTAAGGTAAAGCTACATTTTTTAATTATTCGATTTGACTTGGGTCATTTGTTTCTATTTTTATTTAAAACAAATTGAGAGTTTGGAGTCTTTCAAGAAACATTCCATAGACCTATGAGTTTATGAAAATAGACAGTTAAGTACAAACAAATGCAATTTAAAAAATACTTACCATATTCTTTAGGAGACTTAGCAAGGCCTGCTAAGGCCCTTCTTACAGGTATCCTTAACATGTTGCTAAGAAAAAAACAAAGAAGAGTTACATTATTGTAGGAAAATCCTAACTACAAACTTCTGGTAATAGTTTATTATTTTAAAGCATTGCACATACATCATTTCACTGAACATTCAGAAATACTGATTTTTCCCTCAAATTCTATAGATGAGAATATTCAGTATCAAAGAGATTACCGACTTGTACAATGTAAAGGAGCTAAGAAAAGCAGCTGGTATACAAATGTGGGCCTTCTAATTCTGTTAAAGGACAGTTTTACTGTTTTTAACTATCAATAAATTATCCCATTAAAACAATATTACACAGTAAAATGAATTTCAAGAATAACAATTAGCTTGTGGTTGATAGCTATGTAAAAGAAAGCCTTTCTGCCTTTGTTTTCTACCAATATACCTTCTAAGATTCTATATTCTGAGCAGTTATGTACTGTCCTAAAGGCTCCCGAGAAATTCCGAGCTAGCTCCCAAGTCCAACACTGTCAAGTGTCTAGAGTGCCATTTTCTATGCCGAGCAGTACATGTATCTTACAGATCTGCAATGACCTGTTTATATGCCTGTTCTCCTCCCACTGTATCATGAACTTCTTCAATCTACCTTTAGCGCTTAGCCCCGAGGTTGACACACAATAAGCTCTAATTAAGAGGTTCTCAACCAGGAACAATTTTGCTTCCCAGGAAACATTTGGAAATGTCTGCACACATTATTTATTGTCACAACAGGGGAAAAACTAGAGGCATCTAGGGGACAGAGGCCAGGGCACTGCTAAACATCCTACAATGCACAGGACATAATAAAGAATTATCCAAAGTGTCAACAGTGCTGAAAGCTGAAAAATCCTGCTCTGAAAGGTTTGCTGAATTGCTGAGATATATGAAAGTGGATAATATAAATAACACCAATTGAAGACATACATAAAGAAAAGTTAGCTGAACTTTTAGAAGTTTTTCTCCATTCACTTGATCAGATGGGCGAAGCATATAAATTTTTCACTTGGAATTAAAAAAAAATACAAATTATGTGATCAGAATGTATCAACATAAAGCATTTCAAAGATAAAGAGAGTGGAAAATAATACATGTGCCTAAGTTTGAAGCATTAAGTTTCACGTACCTATTATAATAAGGTGTATATAATAGGAAATTTCATTAAATCAGATTTCAGTGATTCATAGATTTCATTAATTCTGAATTTGTGATACTGAATTGGCAGACATCAGGTCTGTCACCTACTGGTGATTTTTGGCAAATGAAAGTTTCTGCTTCTTTATTTACAGAGTAGAAAGAAAACAAAACTTCCTAGGCAATGTATTAATAGCTGGAGTTCAATAAATGTCAGTTAAAACTGAAATCAATTTAGGTAGTACTAGCCACTTAAGATTGGTTTTAAAGTGCTCTTCTTTTGTACTCCTTTTTACTATTCCTTTTTACTATCAGTGCATGCTGTGTATATATCTCTATTATTCCACCTAGTAAACCGTAGGTTAGCAATCAGTTTTAGTACCTACTAAACTATAAGCTCCTTGATGAGGAACAATTCACTTTGGTCATTCCTTTTTCTGAAGATCTAGCACCATGCTTTTGGAAAAAGAACCACCAAATAGTCTAATTACCAATTTCCAGAATGAGCAGCCATCTGATCGATTAAAATCTGATATAGAGGTAAACCTCAATTTGCTGAATTCAAGCAGTGACATTCAAAATCATAAACCAATAGTTTATACAATATAAAAACTTTAATACTATTATTTTGTCTCTAGTACAATTTAATAGTGCCCACTTTAGCTAAGAAAGAACTAGACTAGCTGTTATAAATCAGCATCAAACGGAATACTGCACAGCCCCAACATAAGAAATACAGGTTGCAGCCCTGCCTGGGGAGCTCAGTTGGTTGGAGTGTCATCCTGTACTCCAAAAGGTTATGGATTCAATCCCCAGTCAGGGCACATACCTAGGTTGCAGGTTCAACCCTGGTTGGGGTACAGGGTATGTATGGGAGGCAACTGATCGATGTTTCTCTCTCTTTCCCTTCCTCTCTTTCTAGTATCAATAAACATATCCTTGGGTATGGACTTAAAAAAAAAAGAAAAAGAAATACAGATTGCAGATCTTTGATATGTACTTCACACATATTTAACTACCATGCAGGAACAACCCTTTTTGTTATAGGGACAGTAGTACTCCACCTTCTCCATTCTCCACTTCTCTCCTTCCAAGGTACTACCCTAGTCCAAGCCACCATCTCCAGCCCCTAACAGGTCTCTGGCTCCATAGTTCCCACAGCCTCTCCCTTCTTCCCACCAAGTGGGGCCTCAGACTGAAATGATGCTCTCGCTCTCTCAGATCTTTCTTGTCCCTTCTTATCCTTCCAACTTTGGCTTCAAAGCCATTGCTCAGGGAGGCTTTCATTGACCAGCCTATCTAAAATCTATTCCCCTGGCACCTCACCCATTTCATTCTTCTTCATGGACTTCTTTCTAGTTTCTAGTAGATGTTCAAGAATTATTTGCTAAATGAAATAGTTTTAAAAAAGATTTTATATATTTTTAGAGAGTGGAAGGGAGAAAGAAAGAGAAGCAGAGAAACATCAGTGGGTGAGAAAAACATGGATGGGTTGCCTCTGAGCCCCCAACCCAGGCTTTTGGCTCACAGGCCAGTGCTCAATTCACTGAGCCACTCCAGCCAGGGCTGCTAAATAAATTCTATCTCCAATCTCTCTACATAAACGTGCACTTCCCTTGAATTAGACAGTGCAGGTTCTCAGGCAACATTGTAATACCCTGCTTAACAATGCACCCACAATTTGGTGAAAAACAGCATTCCTCAAAAGTGAGAAAAATCACCTTGATGTTTATTCATCAGAAACGGTTCACATTACATTTTCTATACCCTCAATTGTCTGATCCACAATCTTACAATACTGTACATGCATTAAATCCCACGGACTTTTAAACAATGTAGCTTTGTTATTCACAGTGCGACCTTGGGCTAACTTTTTGTACATCTTTTCCTTCAGTCTCCCCACCAGTGAAAATAATAAAAAGTGCTGCCCAACACAACCAATGGACAAAACTAAAGACAAACAAAAGAAACAATCAGAGGTACGGACGGTTGCTATGACAATGAGGCCAAACAATGATGCACTGTACCAGCTAAGTAATAATTTTGGAAGAAATGCTCAGTCTTTAGGCCTGTCATTTGATACAAGTCCTCTTCCAGGGAACAAAACGACCTCCTGTCCAGAAAGGGGAATGTCCTGCATTTCCCCTGCGGAGGGAAGGTCACCCACAAGCCTGCATTCAGGCCAGCACTCCCCAGGGCCTCCAGAGCCTCCTCTTCTTTGCCCCTGCAGCAGACCAGAGACCATGGCTACAGGGACCCCACCTGCCGGCTCTCAAGGGTTTCCGGGGAGGCAGAGTGGGACGCGGCGCCCAGTTCAAGGACAAGAGGAGAATGAGTCTCCTGGGCCAAAGAAGACAGTTTTGTTAAGAAATAAACTCCTGTGGCCGAGGTACCGCAACCTTCTCACCCAAACACGACCTCACCTTCTCCCTAGAGCCTCCGAGGGTGCCCTGCAGAACTGTCTGCAACACACCGACCCCCTTAGGCGCCCGATTGCTCATTCAATATGGCGGCGCTAGCTAACTCCGCCCCCCGGGCCTGGAGAACGGGAAGCCAGGAGGGACTAGAAACTTCAGATTCTACAATTTCCCCGCTAGATTGATTTCGGCCATTTCCTTCAGTTTGACAGAAGGCGGGGCGAAGGGCGTAACAGCCGGGAGGAGGCCGGGATTGGAGGCCTGGACCGCAGTTCCGCCGGAAGTGACTGGGAGGCTGAGCTCGAGCCTCTTCGGTTGTCTCCGGTGCTTCAAGGGGCGGGTACTGTAAATATCTGGAGGTCGAGGAGGTACTAATTTAAAAAATGCCCCATTTATTAATTTATTTCTATCCACAAAGAAAGGCCCACGGAAAATTGGTGGGCCGTTTAACTCAGAGCCCGGGTTTTTGCGTTGAGGAATGAAAAGGTTAACGTACTTTGACGTTAAACTTCCGGCGGGCGCGGCGGAGGGGAACGCCTCCATCGCTATATAAGGGATTTTCCGGCTTTTTGCGGCCTTTTCCTTTTTAGCGCTCGGCGCCCGGTTGCCTGCGCTCCTCTTTCGTCTGTTGCCGCCGGGTTCCCGGGTCAGCCGACACCATGGGTTTTGGAGACCTGAAAAGTCCCGCCGGTCTCCAGGTGCTCAACGACTACCTGGCGGACAAGAGCTACATCGAGGGGTAAGTGGAGGGGCTGGGGCCGGGTGCACCCGAGACCACGTGGCGCTCTCCGCTGCGGCTGGGGGAAAGGCAGCCCGGCCTCCGCCCCCTTAGGGTAGAGGCCTCAAAGGGAAAAAGGGTCAAAAATGTGCCTTTTAAAGTGACTTACCTGATTTCAGGTTTTTCTGCGTTTTAGGTCAGTAAGTAAATCTATAGGTCTCCTTTAGAGATTGCAATCTTCGAGGTCTGTGAAGTGTCAGGCATTCTTCAGGATAGAACAGAACAGAACAGAAAAGATGGTTCTTTACCTTCAGGAACTTAGGTAACTTAGGATCTTATGCAGTTTAGGTAACCCGGTAGTAAATGGACGAGATTCCATTAATAAATTTGAGAGACGAAGCGTTTGTCTTTTTTTTAATGGTGTTTGTGGCAAAATTTTTAAAGTCCCATGTACTTTGTGTCTTTCGCAGGTATGTACCATCACAAGCAGACATGGCAGTATTTGAAGCAATCTCGGGCCCACCACCCGCTGATTTGTATCATGCTCTACGTTGGTATAACCACATCAAGTCTTATGAAAAGGAAAAAGCCAGGTAAGATTATCTTTGTTTATCTGAAGAGTAGAGTACTTCCTATGTTCTTTCTTAAGATTTTACTTATTTTCAGGGAGAGAAGGAGAAAGGGAGAGAAACATCCCAACCGGGGACCTGGCCGGCGACCAGGCCTGTGCCTTGACTGGGAATCAGACCAGCAACCTTTTGGTTCGCTGCAGGATGCCCAGCCCACTGAGCCATGCCAGTCAGGCAGGGCGCTTTCTAAACTTTAACTCAGGATTTTCCTTTGATAGAATTGCACGCGGGCTACTTTAGTTTTGTTGGAATATTATAAACTTAAGGGTTTTTGGTGTGTGTGTGAGAGAGAGAGAGATTTTAAAAAGGCAAGGGACTGAAGTCCTCCTTTTTTTTGCAAACCAGTAGAACGTGGACAATAGCAATTCAGCTTTTCCCCACACTGCCCTGCCAGTGTGCCTGACTCTGAGCTGGGAGGTCCACCTCTGGGGTGAGAGGGTAGCTCATTCGTTCAGTCCTTGGCCATTCTTCTGAAACTGCCAACAAGGGTGGGAGTTTGGGGAAGTGGACTCCAGGTCGCTAAGAATGGAATTGAGCGTATTTAGTGAATTCTCAGGACAGAAATACTCATTCTGAAAGGGTAAATCATAGTGAGTATTGAATGTAATGTTTCACGTGCTACTCATGATGTTTGGGTGAGAAATTAAACTATATAAACAATTACCTAGGAATGTTAAATGTGTTCTGTTGGTAGCGATGAAAATAGCACATGTGTGTTTTGAAGAATAACGTTTCAGTCTAATAGTTTAGTGTTTTGTTTTGTTTTTTTAAGCCTGCCTGGAGTGAAGAAAGCTTTGGGCAAGTATGGCCCTGCTAATGTGGAAGACACCACAGGAAGTGGAGCTACAGATGGTAAAGATGATGATGACATTGATCTCTTTGGATCTGATGATGAGGAGGTACGGAATAAATTAGTATAAGTATATCATTGTACTTAAGCAAAGACTCTGTAGCCTAACTGCCTGGATTTGAATCCTGGCTTCATTTTATTACCTGCCTTTAAAAATTCTCACTGGTTACATGATGAATGAAATCAAATCACCATCTTTCGGCTGAGTTCGTGATGGATTTGCTTTTTTCTGATAAATGGTCTTTGCTATGATGACCCCACTATCTTTAAGCTGAGGAACAACCAGCTTTGTGAAATGAATTAAATTTTCTCTTTACAGGAAAGCGAAGAAGCAAAAAGGCTCAGAGAAGAACGCCTTGCACAGTATGAGTCAAAGAAAGCCAAAAGTAGGTCATTTTATAATTGTGTTTATCTTCCTTTTATAATAGTGTAAGTAATCTTTTTCAAAGATTAGTCTGTCATTTCCTTCACTTTTACCAACTAGGTCAGTAAACCTGTAGAATTGGTTCTTCAGATTTCCACAGCTACTGGTCTGCAGCTGTTCTGATTGTGGCAGTTGTGGTATTCCTCTGTGGGAAAGGAATTGTCACACAGTTAAACACCTCTTTCTTAGCAAAGCAGAAAGTGGGCATGTGTGTGACAGACACAGGATATGTTCTGTAGTTTTGTGTGGCTAAGGAGAGGTGATCCCTTTTGTAACAATTGATTTGTCATATGTCTTGGATTAAATTAGGTTAAAAAATATGATAGAATATTTGAGTAATGCTCTTTCTTTTTTTTTTCTTTTTCTAGTTGGTTTTTTTTTTTTTTTTTTTTTTAATTCTGTTTCTTATACTGTTTTCTAGAACCTGCACTTGTTGCCAAGTCTTCCATCTTGCTAGATGTGAAACCTTGGGATGATGAGACGGACATGGCGAAATTAGAGGAGTGTGTCAGGAGCATTCAAGCAGACGGCTTGGTCTGGGGCTCTTGTGAGTTTAGTTGTTGCTCTTTGTTTTGTTTTTGAAATTGACATTGGGAATTTGCGTGGTTTCAACATTTGCCACTGAACAGTACTCTCTAAGATTTTTCTTAATGTTCTTTTCAGCTAAGCTGGTTCCAGTGGGGTATGGAATTAAAAAGCTTCAAATACAGTGTGTAGTGGAAGACGATAAAGTTGGAACAGACATGCTGGAGGAGCGGATCACTGCTTTTGAGGACTATGTGCAGTCCATGGACGTGGCTGCTTTCAACAAGATCTGAAGTCCATCCCGGATCGTTGCCCTTAAATAAAAGCTTGAGAGATAATGCTTGGCTCTTGACTTTAATAAGAGGGTGGTATGGTTGTCCCTTGAACAAGATGAGAGGTTGGGGTGCCAACCCCCAACATGGTCAAAAGTTCATGGTTATCTTTGTTCCACCAAAACTTAAGTGCCTAGTTATCCATAGGGGATCAGTTCCAGAACTCCTCGTGGGTACCAAGTCCCTTGCATAAAATGGCAAAAACGTCCACGCATTCAGCCTTCTGCATCATCCACAGATGCAAGACTCAGGGATACAGGACTGACTATAGTTTAGAGTTTGTGTATAAGTGGACTCACATAGTTTGAGCCCATGTTCAAGGGTTAACTGTATATTCCTTCCATTTTGAGTAATCTAGTGACTAATTTGTAATATAAATTTGAGTTAGCATTTTTTTTTTAAGGCTCTAGGGAGAGGTTAAGGGAGGAAGCAAAATGTCAATCAAACCCTGACTTCGGGATAAGACCTGCAAACCAAGCGTGCTTTGATGGGGGAATCAAACCAGTGGCCTTTCAGTTTGCAGGACCATTGCCCAACCAAATGAGCCACACCAGTCAGGACTGGGTCAGTATTGTTAAGACTATGAGCACAAAAAAAGGGAAACAACCTATTACAAAAGCTCTATAGGTAGGTATTACAGATTTTATGAACTGATTTAAATGAGCTCAATCTCAGTATAATTTCTGTACTTAACTAGGGATGTGCTCAGCAGTGCATGATACCGTATTTTAAGTTTTCCTATTTCTCATTTTTAAGAGAAATTGGTGAGCTAAAAACTGCATTTATGGGGATTTTGGGTTAAGAGGTTAGCCCTGTGGTTTGATGGTTTAGACCCTGGGCTTTGCAAGGAGTTACCTGAGCTAGTTTTCTTCAGTGGGAATGTTAGGGTTACCTTAAACGAAGAGTCATATCAAGTGAGTCTATAAAGCACTTACTTGGGCAACACTGGGCACCTGGTGAAGAATGTCTTATTACAGTCTTTGGGGAGTAGTCAAACTTTTGGAGTTAAAAGGATTTTAATGCTGAGACAGGGCAGACCTAAATGGCTGATGAAGTAACCTAGCATCTTCAAGTTGGTTGTTACTTGTGACTGAGAAACCACAATTTCAAATGTTAAATGTGGAGATGTGCAATGTTACTCAAGGACACCTAACACATCACAGGGTAACAAGTACTGGAAGGGCTCCCAGAATTTCTCATGAATTAGCAACCATTTGCCCAGATGCAATCATGCCTGACCATATACCTACAAAGGAGAAAGTGGGACGTGTTAGGAGTATGTTTTGAGTAGCATTGTGTTGTGGGAGGGAGATTATACACATAATTGATTTCCAGGCTATGGTTTTTTTCCTAAAGCCTGGCTTGGGTGTGAAGGTGAACGGGGGCTAAGTGGGGAAATCTGATGGGACCCATTGGGGCAGAAGGACTTTTCTCATTTGGAAATATGATGGGACCCACTGGGGCAGAAGGATTTCTGCACTGACCAAGTGAGGTCGTACCGCAGGTGAATGTGCCGAGATGAAGAGAGCACGTTACGGGACAGTTGAATCCTGGGAACAGTTTCATCTTTGTTAATTTGAGATATATATGGCATTTGATTTTTTTCACAGTAGTTTTTATAAAAGTAGAGCTTGGAAATTGCTGACCTCCAAAGGTCTCTGTAGACCAAAGAGATTAAG